TGGGAGAAAGATGAGGCTTTCTGCTCCCGTAAAGATTTACAGCCTCGGAAACCCTGTACAGGGTCACTATGGGTCAGAATCAACTCAATAGCACTTAACAACAACAATATGAGCCCTGGTGTGGTGCAGTGGAATAATCACTGGACTGCTGACCACAAGGTCAGCAGTTCAAACCCACCAGCTGCTCTCAGAAACACTATACAGGGCTGCTAACAACAAAAAGGGCTAAAGCTGCTAACTGCAAGTTTGGCAGTTTGAACCTACCAGCTGTTCCAAGGTAACATGAGGTGGCAATCTGCTTTTGTAAATATTCCAGTATTGGAAACCCTATGGGGCAGGTTTCCTCTGTCCTAGAGGGTCTCTACTAGTCAGCCAACTTGACAGCAATGGTTTTGGTTTTATGAGGCCTGGAAGGAGCCCTGGTGATGCACCAATTAAAGTACCTGGATGCTAAATCAGAAAGTCAGTGGTTTGAACCCACCAGTTATTCTGTGGGAGAAAAGATCAAGGGCACACAACAAGCAGGAATAGGAGCAAGGATTCGAACCATTCATTACTGGTTTGACCCCCTGTTGAGAATTTGCCTTTCCACTGAATCGTAAGGTTAGTAGTTCAAACTCACCAGCCACTCCTTGGAAACTCTATACAGGGTCGTTATGAGTCAGAACTGACTCAAATGCATTTAACAACAATCCCAGATAATACTGAAATCAGAATCTACATTTTAATAAGATTCCCAGGTGAGTCTTATAGATCCCCTAGGTGGTTCTTATGTATCTCAATTTAAAAAAAAGATTTGGATTCCATATGTCTGGGGTGAAAACGCAAATTCTCAGCAGGGGGTGAACCGGTTGTTGGAAAAGTCTTAGGAAAAACTGTTGGTCTTTATTCTCCCTCAGCTGAAAGGTCATTTTTATTTGACTTTTTGTTAATTTAAAATTTTACATATATATCAAATAAATGGAATAGTATAATTGAGTGGAAAAATCAAAATCAAATTCTCACTTTTCTAACACCAAACTATAAGGATCAGTGATCAGTTCCATTCCATTTTGTGTGACCTCTGACTCCAGCTACACATACCCAAGCTAGGTTAGACCTTAAGTTAATGGGCACAGTCTGCCCAAGACCTCAGATGTCAGACAAATCAATTCTGATTTGATGGCTACAAATTCAAGAGTTCCCTTTACTCCCTAAGGACAGCAGTTAATAGTATCAGGAGTCCCCATCCCTTCTTACCTGCTGACTCCCACTACTCCCTTGGGCTTGATAATTCACTGGGATGATTCACAGAACTCAACATGACATAAATACAAGTATGGTTTTATTATAGGAAAAAAATATGCAAATGAAAAGACCCACAGACAGGGTCTTAGCAGGCTCACAAAGTGGAACTTCACATCCTAAAACGGACGAAACATGCTACTCTCTCCCACATGAATCTATGTCTCTCAACAACCTTAAGGAGCGTCTGTGTCTAGAACCTCTCTTGGGGTCTCATTGTGTGTGCAGACTAGTGGGTTCCAACTCATAGCAACCCTATAAACCCAAACCCATGGCCAGTGAGTTGTTTCTGACTCATAGCGACCTTGTATGGGTTTCTGAGGCTATACATCTTTATGAGAGCTGAAAGTCTCATCTTTCTCCCAAGGAGCAGTTGGTGGGTTTGAACTGCCCACCTTGTAGTTATAGTCCAGTGCTTATCCTACAACACCACCAGAGCTCAACCGCCAAAGGTCTCCTGATACATTGGGATGGGTCTTTCAGACCTGGTTAGCTCAAACCCAAGAGGTAATCTCATTACCATACACCCTCAAGTGTGATCTGAAGCCTTCATTAAAGACACTTCAATTTCAGGAAAATCCAAGGTTTTAGAGGTTATATCTCAAACTATGGGCAAAAAACATTCTTTGGGTAAAGTTAAGCCTACAATAATGAGCCCTCACAAATCTGCCATCCAACTTCATCAACTTGTGACCAACTGTATTTCATCTGTTGTTGTTTAGTGCTGTTGAGTTGGTTCTGACCCATGGTGACTCTACAGGGTTTCCAAGGAGTGGCTGGTGAGTTTGAACCAGCAACTTTGTGGTTCAAACCCACTTTGCAATCCAGCGTATTAGCCCACAGTGCCACACCACGACTCCTTATTTCAAACTATACCTCACCTACGTCCCTTCCCTGGATTATTTTAAATCAGAAAGACTTTTAAAAAACTAACAAACAATGGTACCATTGTTAAATGCTATGGAGTCAGTTTCAACTCATAGTGACCCTGCATAGGGCTTCCAAGGCTATAAATCTTTGCAGAAGCAGAAAGCCTTATCTTTTTTTTTTCATGGAGCTGGCTGGTATGCTCGAACGCTAACTGTGGTTTGAAGTTGAGTACTTACCATACAGAAACACCAAGCTCCTCAACAATACCATCTAAAATTAATCATTCTAATTTTACCCAAATACTAGTCCTATTTTTCCTAATTTTCTTTTCCTTTTTTAAAAAATAGTTTGTTTCTTTGATTCAGAATCCAAATAAGGCCCAATACATTGCACTTACTTGATATACCTCTTGTCTCTTCAAAAATCTATAGATTCTCCCTCTAGTGTTTTTTTCAATTTGTTGAAGAAACTGGATTTTTTTTTTCTTAACAGAGATTATATCTCCATGGTGCCTTTACCCAGGGCTTTGGACCAATTCTTCCCAGTTCAATCATGTCTGATAAAGTATCTGGAAAGGACCCAAATTTGTAAAATGTAGGTATACTGGAAAAGGAAAAATTATGGCCTGCTAGAAAGAATCCCTTCTTACAAAATAAAAGCAGCATGCACGTTGCATAACAATCAAATCTCTTGATAAGCAGAGTCAGAAACAAAGGTGCTCAGCTCAAAGATGGTGGTCGGCCATGCGACTTCATATGTGTGTTGCTGTCCACTGCCTTTGCAATAATCCAATTGCCACTATACTTCTTCCAAGTCTCATTACAGGGTTTTACCCCTAATTTTTTCCTCTTCAGTTATTGTTCTGGTATACCCACATTTTGCATACTGAGTGCTTGGTTTGGGTGTGTTAACCATGACTAAACCAGCTTGACTTGTTTTTAACATGTTTCTCAGACTCTGGTATTTTCTCTAAATTGATTACATTTGGAGATGTGATTAGATACAGGTGTAGTATATTTTTGCGGTACACATATCAGGTTTGGTTATTAGCAGCTGTTGGTCATTTCCTGGATGCTTTAATTGTGAATTGCAAAATGGTAATATTCTAATTCTACCCTTCCTTCCTTAGCTGGAATACTTCTATTGAAAAATCTTCCTCTCATCCACAAGTTGGCTATCCTGCAGTTCGTACAAAAAAAGGCATACAACTTTTATCCTTTCCTTTTATTTCCTTTATTGAAAAACAAAGAGTTGGCTCCCTTTCAGTGAGGAGGTGGCTTTAAAGTTGTATCTTAAAGGAAGTAGGTGAATAAGGAAAAAATAAGGGAAATCCTATGATTCAATGGCAGTGGGTTTAAGGTCACCATGAATCAGTGCTGGCTCAAGGTGCCTAATAACAGGAAGCTTTCAGGTAAAACACTAGACACTAACAGTAAACCCAAAAGGGCAGCATTTCCCCAAAAACCAAAGTTCAGGAAGGGGCATGAAAGATGGGCAAATGGAAGCAGGGAACTTAGGGGGAAAGTGGGAAGAGCATTGTTACACTGAGAGGATTGCAACTGATGTCACAAAACAAACTGTGGATGAATTATTGAATAGGAAATTAATCTGCTCTGTAAAGGTTCACCCCAATCACAAAGAAAGTTTAAAAATACAGATCAAAAAGGGAACTAGAATGTGCCCAGGGAAATAGGCTTGTTGTTAAGCTTTTGTGGAGTATGAGACCTTAGGTGGAATCCTGAACCCCACCCAGAACCTTCAGAGGTGGGACATTCCCAACTGAAAAGACATACAGACCAACCCAGAACAACTAGAGGAACAAAAGATACTTTTAAAAAGAAAGACCAGCAGGGAAGGGGTTGGGGGAAAGCAGATTGTTTGGCTGTGACAATATCAAGCAAGTGTCTTGGAGTCATCAAGGCAAGAAAAGTCAGCCCATTAGAGTAAACCCCTTTCTAAGACTGAAACCCAAAGGGAACACACAAACAGTCTTGTGGGCTCGTTGGTGAGTTCCCTGGTCAACTCGTGAGTGGAAGTTGGGGAAATGCAGCAATGAAAACACGGAGTTTGACTGTGTCCCATAGACCTCTGATGACCTTGAGATGAAAGAGAAGAAGAAGAGCTGGC